CGGAGGCGGAGGCGGAGGCGGAGGCGGAGGCGGAGGCGGAGGCGGAGGCGGAGGCGGAGGCGCGCGCGTCGCGTCGGAGCGGAGAGGGACGGAGGCTGTGCGCGGGCGGCCTTTAGAGGTGCTTCACAGAGGTGGGAGGCGCCGGTCCCTCGGGCGGCCCCGCTGCTCCAGGCTGCCCTCGAAGTCCCCTTGCCTCCACAGCCTCGTTCCGTAGAGAAGTGCGTGCTGGCGAAGACCTCGAGGAGCACTCCCTGGCCCTGGTCAGAGCATCCGGGCCTGGGTGAGCGGCGCCATCGAACCACACGCGGGCGTCGGGGTCCTGGCAACAGCGCGCGACCTCCACGTGCGCATGCGCAGAGCCACCAAGGGCGCTGAGAGCGGACAGCTCTGCGCTGCGCGGTTACCAGGAAACCTCACGGACGCAGGTTCTGGGCCTCGCTCCTGAGGTCCTGATTCTGCTCCCTAAAGAATGCCGGTCAGACCCGCAACAACGCCCGCTTGACCTTTCGTTCTACTTCATTTAATTTGTAAAGAATCAAATGATTGTAATTAATTTCTGTAGTATATGTCTATTATTGAAAGGGCAAAAAAACTTTGAATTAGATGGAAATTATTGGAAAAATGGGAAACACAGATAAAAATTGAACATACTTGTCTGCAGTCCGTGCATTTTAAAAGTAAACTTTGGAATAATTGATATTTATAAATTTATAGAAAAATTGCGAAGATAGTACAGAGTTTCCACACATCCCACTCCCAGTTTCCCTATTATTAATGTTTTGTATTGATATGGCATGTCAGTATTAACTAAAATCTGTACGTTACACAGTTTCGTTTCCCTTCGTTTTTACCTGTTACGCTTCTGTTCCAGGACGCCACATTGCATTTAGCCGTTGCTCCTCTTCAGACTCTCCCCGGCTGTGACAGTGTCTCAGGCCTCCCCGGCTTCTGCTGACCTGGCAGTTTGAGGAGCGCGGGTCCGGGTTTTGTAGGCTGTCCCTCCACTGAGACCACTTTGTTTCTCTCATAATTAGGACTTATGGGCTTGGGAGGTAAAGTGACATTTTCGTCACATGCCGTATATGTCAAAATGTTTTATCACTGTCGATGTTGATCCGATCACCCAGATGTGGTAAGTTCATTGGTTTCTGCTCTCTGGTTACTCTTTTTCTCCTTTCCCTAGCGCTCTTGGGAAAAAGTCATCATTTGTGGTCCACACTGAAGGAACAGAAAGCCCTGTTTTATAGGTAAATAAAATGAGACTTGTAGTTTTGAAAGTTTGCATTGCTTAAAAATGAAATAATAAAAGTCTTGGTGAGGTTTGGCATTGTGAAACTTCACACAACTAGGATCCTAGCCTTGACATTTTTGTAGTGATATCATCTGTGCGCTTCCCCGTTCTTCTGATTTACTGTGATTATTTGACAGACTTGATTTATTCGGTGCGCTGTTGGATCCTAGAAATACAAACATGAAACATCGTCCCTGTCCTCAGAAGTTTGAGATCCCATCTTAAAGATTTCACATCCTAACAGAAACCCTTTCCTCATTCTCCTTGCTATTGTATTTGGAATATGCATGAATTCAAACATCTTTTAAAATGTCCTCATTTTCAGATATATGGGACAATGCATTATTAGTGGGGAAAAGAATAAATATTCCTCCCTCTTTAAAAAAATGTGCTTCTTTCCTGCTTCAGGAACATGAGTATGGTTCCGTGGGGTTAGAATTTCCCCACATCTTTTCTAACAAACCAGCCGGACATGCATGGAATACTGTGTGCTGCCTTTCGTTCTTGTCCTGGTCCTCTTCTATTATGGGAAGGGAAAAGTGTACATGCTGGGATGAATGGTCTACCACTGCTCTGACTGGTAGATAAGCTCAGGGGTCTGGCTACCTGTGACAAAAATCCCTCAGCCAAACTGACTTCAATAATAGAAAACCTGGAAGAATTCAGCAGGTAGGCTGGGGGCACTGGGGAGGGACACAGCTACACACCAGTGTCCTCGTGGTCTGGCTGCTGTCCTAGTCTCTGCCCCAGCAGCAGGGCCCGGCTCCATGCTCAGACTGCTCCAGTTGGCAGCAGCACAATCCCCGTGGACCAGAGACCTCACCTCTGCTCCTCAGAGGTGAAAACCAGGCTGACCACATGGACTTCCCGGTGGGGGAACAGTAACATAAGTGCCTCAAACCAATTCAGGTTGACCCTGAGCTGAGGATTCCCCAGAGTCAGAGCCAGGATCAATGAGTATCAGAGCAAAACAGAAGTCCTGTTGCCTGAGAACAGAGTCTACAGAGCATGAGCAGCACTACATGTGTGCGTCCACGTGGCCAACAAGACCCACAGAGCCCTGACCCCGCTGAATACCAGGTTTAGCCCTTCCCATGCCACACTGTGATCCCTGGTCCACTCTGCCAGTTGTGGCCTTCTCCATATGTAGGGTAGACTGTCCTTAAACTCACTACATAGCCCAGACTGGCCTCAAACTGGCAGCGATCCTCCTGCCTTAGCCTCCCGAGTGCTAGGATTACAGGCGTGCACCACCACACCTGGCTATTTTGTTTTATCTCAGATTTTGCTCTGAATTCTTAGTCCCATGAAAATCAATTCATTTCGTGCATTTTATTTTTTTATTTTTCAAAATAAGTTTATCAGTTTGTTTGCAGTACATAATGCCGTAATTACATCTGTAAGTAAACACATCGAAATTTGATTTTCTTTTTTTTTTTTTTTGGTCCTGGAAATCGAACTCATGACCTCACACTTGCTAGGCAGGCACTGTGCCACTGAGCTATATCCCTGGCCCATGAAACTTGATCATTTTTGATCCCCTCCCCCAGCTTCCCTTCTCCAGTTCCCCTTCTCCATCTGCAGAAATATCTCCCTCCACGTGCCCTATCGTCTCGTCTTCAACTTGCTCTTTGGAGTTTCTCATATCAGAGGAACAGTGCCACATTTAACCTTCCCTGTCTGACTTATTTCGCGCTGCACTATGGTCTCCAGAACCATCTGTTTTGTTACAAGTGACTCATAACTGTAAAGACATAACTGTCTTTATAGCTGAGGAATACTCTGCTGTGTCTATACACATTTTCTTTATCCACTCTTCTGTAGATGTCGTGTGGTTATTTCCATAATTTAACTGTTGTGATTTGTGGAGCTATAAACATGTGTTTCTGTGCTTTGATGACTTTACCTCTTTGGGGAAGATACCCAGGAGAGATGTGGCTGAGTCAACTGGAATTTCTTTTTTTAGTTTTTGAGAAACCTCCATATAATTTCCATGGCAGTTGTACTGATTTACATTCTCACTAACAAGATTTCCTTTTCCCCACATCGTTGTCAGCATTTATTATTGGATTTCTTGATGACAGTCATTCTTTCTGGAGTAAGATGGAATTTCAGTGTTGTTTTGACTTTCATTTCTTTAATGGCCAGAGATGTTGAGCATTTTTAATGTATTTAATGGCTGTCTTTACTTCTGAGAAGTGTCTGTTTCAATTGCATCTTGTTTGATTGAGTCTTTTATTTTGGAGGGAGGGGTCTAATTTTTTGACTAGATATTAGTCCTTTGTCCAAGGTGTAGCTGGCAAAAATCTTTTCCCTTGTCTGCAGGTTATCTCTTCACTCTTTTGGTTGTTTCCTTTGCTGTGCCGAAGCTTTTTAATTTGCTATGATCCCATTCGTTGATTATTGGTATTCTGTCTTGTGCAATTGGAGTTCTGTTCAGGAAGTCCTTACCTATGCCTAAGTCTTCAAGAGTCTTACCTACTTTATCCTCCAGCAGATTCAGTGTTCCTATTTTTGTACCTAGGTCTTTTATCTGTTTTTAAACACCCACAATGTACTTGACGAGAGGATAGGGTCTGAGACTAAGCAATGACAAATGCAGTCTTTGCGAAGCCCCATGTTATTCTGTGAAAGTGGGCAGAGTTGCACATGGAATTAAGGAACCCCGAAATGTTTTCCAGAAAAGCATTTAGCGTCTCGAAGCCGTTGGTCTTTCTGCCATCCCTCCTCCCAAAGCAAACATAAGAAACACAGCTGAATAAAATCAGGGCTCTCTTTTCTTTTGTTTTAATTGCCTCTCCCGACAAGCTGCCAAGCCACTCAGCAATTACTGAGCCCTAGGCAGCGTCAGGGCCGTGTGCACGGTGCCCAAGTCAGGCTCGTGAGTGTGGTGCGGGAAACAAAATGGGCAACATGGTAGGCGTGCCAGAGAAAACAACTCAGAAAAGAGACAAGCTGGTTTTCAGTACTCATAGAGTTCATTTTTACCTTCTACAAGACAGAGAGAATAGGGGGAGCAAGTGGGTCGTATGTTAGAAACCAAGTCCTGCTACACTCTCTGAGAGTGTTTCCTGGCAGCTCTGCTGATTTAAACCTGATCTGAGACTCACATTGTTCTCTGATGTTCTCTGGCATTCCTTAATGATACTGTCAAAGTCAAGATTTTCTCCATGGCAATAGCTGTCTGTGTTTCTATAAATGGTGAAGCTTATTTTTCTGGCTACAATTTCTTTTTAGTTTGTGAGCCCGATTCTGGGCAAAGATTACTTTAGGCACAGGCTTCTCTTTTCATGCCTTTTTGGTCTTCGGTTTATAATTTCAGTAATAGTTGAGGAAAATTAAGAATTAAACTAATGATTGGTCTCCAACAAATCCCAAGAGGACAATATCTTACATTTATCATCAACTTCATTCTTCTCATTGAAAATTACATTACCAATGAAGGAAGGAAAACAATCTGCTAATTCCTGTGCCCTGCCCTAACTCCTAGTCTATGATAGACTATTTGTTTGGTTTTTTGTTTTTTTTCCGGTACCGGGAACCGAACTCACGACCTTGCGCTTGCCAGGCAGGCGCTTTTGCCACTGAGCTAAATCCCCAGCCCCTATGATAGACTATTGTTCAGTTTCTTCCTACTGTTTCTGTATTTGTGATAGTTTTACATCTTCTATTCCTTACTTTTCTTATATCCTTATGGTGGCTCCCCATTTTTTACTATGTATCCCACGTAGATGCACTGGGAATGTGGGCACAAGAGAGTCACACTACAATGGTAAAGTGACTTGTAGGACTGGGGTGTAGCTCAGTGGTACAGCACTTGCCTAACATGTTTAAGGTCCTGAGTTCAATGCTCAGTACTGCAGAAAAAATTGCTAATGTGCCTTATACATAATACTTAAGCACTGCTGATATATTATATCCTGTGCCCCATGTTAAAAAAATATCTGTGCTATTATAGGAGAAGAGTGTGAGTGCCAAGGCGAGAATGAAAGAGCCGAGCTCGAGTGTCAGCCACTTTCTTTACGCTTTAATGGGGGAATATTTAACTCAGCTTGGCCGCAGTTCTTTCACAGTGAAGTGAGGTTGATAATATTCAACTCGAGGACTGTTTGGATAGAAAACAAGGTAATTAATATGGAAGTGCTCTGTGGGAAGTTGAGACATTATAAGGTATAGCTATTATCATAGAGCCTAGCAGGACCTAACAGGATATAGAGAAGTATTTTTAGTGTTTAGAGAACATTAAAACAGAGAAAAAAATCTAAATTAGTAGATGGCTTTATTCAGACAAAAATACAAAGCTTCTGATTTCAGTGCCCAGCTTGTGTCCCCCCAGTGGGCCTGGCAATCTGCTCACCTCACTTCTCACCAAGCCCGAGCCCGGGGAGTGAAGTCCCGTGAGCAAGCTGGCCGGATGGGCAGGAGGTGGAGGGTGGGTACGTACCCCGTATGTTCTCTTGCCAGCACAGGCTCAGATGCGCCTGGGCGACATGGAACCCCAACTGCTCCCCGTAGCAAGTTGCATATGAACCTTGTGTCCATGTGTGGCTGATCTCACACCGTGGCCCTCTCCTCGCCTCTGGGACCACATCCCAGGTGAACCGCTCGGGGCCAAGTCCTGGCTCCAGAATTCACTTTTGATGAAACCTAAAGTAAGACCTCTCATTTTTCATTTTTAAAACTGAGTTATGTTGGAGTACAAAACTCGCTTTTATAGATGTGTGTTTTTGATGGTTTACCTTTTGTTTCAATCTTGCCTTTAATTGTTCTTGTTATGAAGTGAGCAATGAATGTAATCACTACATACTGCAAACATAAATAAAAATCTTGCAGTTGTACACTCATAAAAATAAAACTCAACAAAATGCACAATACAGCCCCCAAAGGAAAAAAAATTATGCCAAGTGGACAAGGAAAGACACAAAAACAAACCAAAACAACCAAAAAACAACCATAAAGAACAAAGTGAATATGAGAAACTGGAGGAAGAGGGAAGGAAGTGGAGAGCTGAGAGCTAAGCTCTTCTCTGGAGTGAAGCGAGCACTGGCTGGGAAAGGAGGTGCTGCTCTGTAAGTGTGAAGAAAGCCAGTCATAAGCAGAGGTGAGAGAGAAGAGCGCGAACTCCTAGATGGAAAGAGAGGGGGCAACGTTACCGCTGCTGTGACCCCGATGTGCCTGCAGGGATAAATTTCTAAATCCGGACTCCTCTCGTGATTGCCTCTCTTGGCCCCTACACTTTGAGTTTCTCTTTTTAACCCCATTTCTTATCCCCAAGGTGACACAGTAACAACTTCAATGGGAACAGAAGCGTCAAGCAGCACTCTGCAAGATCACTGCTGTGTCTCTGAGTTCCAGGCGTGGACAGGCTGCCCGGAGACCAGCCTGCAACTCTGCCAGCCAGGGACAGCCCGGACCTGGAGGAGCAGGCGGGGGAGAGGTAACTGCTGGGAGGGGCTCAGGACTCAGTGGACCCCAGCATTCAAAAGGCTTTCCCTGCTACAGCGAATCTCAGCCCAACAAGCCATGGTTTAGAGAATATTCTTCACGGCATCCTTTTCTCTCATCCTACTCTCCCAGTGTAAAATGCCACTTCTGAAGTATGTGGAGCAGTACCACACTGCAGCATGGACAGATCCCACGTCAGGAGCTCAAAGACAGCTCCAGGGCAGGGAAGGAAGCAGGGACTGCAAGGAGAGGCTGCGAGGAAGGCTCCGGGAGCCGCGGGCTCCCAGTACACGGGGCTTTTTTATCCCTGCCACCCAGTGTCACTCCTCAAAGGGGTGACTTCGGATCTCTGGTTTGAAGGGCTGTTCCAGTTACATAGAATATAGAACTTTTACAAAAGCAAAGGGGACCAAGGTGGAGGGAGAGGCGAGGCAGGTGAGAGGGCAAGAATAAGAAAAGAATTAAGACGTGTTATGCACATGGACCAACTCCTCATGAGGAGATATACTGCAAAGATGGACTAATGGAAGTGAAAATTTTTAAAAATGGCACCATGGTTGTTTTCAAGGAAAGTTCAAGGAGACAGATTTCAGTACAAACAACAATCGTACCAATGTCCAAAGCCAGGGAAAATACCATAGTGAACAAGAAACCCAGATGATTCAACATCTGACTACTTCAGCCTACTGCCCCACGAGACACAGAGGAATAGAAGACAGACCAGAAGTTCACAGAACAGGAAAATCTACACCATTTCTCACCTAGATATCTTAGTATCTTCTCTGAGAGATCCACCCAGAGATTGCTATGAAAGCTGGAGGAAATTCTAGCTCCTGGGCTCCAGATTTTAAAGCCAGGAACAATGGCCAAGTAACAATCTGCTTTTAGTTCTTCCCCAACAACTTAACACTGGGTTGGAAAAAAATGACAGGAAGACACTAACTCCAACTACTAGAGCTCTTCCTGGCTTCAGCACCAGCTTTATAAAACAAATGTGAATTGTTTCTTCTCTCACCAAGGTTATCCTGGTAAAAACGGCTAGGGCTTATAGGTCAGGATTCTTAGCAAGGAAGAATTACCAGTATTTCACTAGAGGAGACCAGGAGACCATTTGCCATTGTTGGGGGCTGGCTTGGGGGCAAAGCAGTTCTAGTATCTCATGCTGCTTTCCACAGCCCACAGCTTGGTGAGCTTCCCTGTGCACCCCAAAGACACTTTGAGGGGGAACAGTGGGATCCTGAGACTTGGGATGGAGGCATCTGTGGGGATATGGGTGAAGACTTGACACCTGAGTGTGCCCCGTCCAAGGCTGTGGAGGTGAGTCTGCCTCCACTCACCCAAGAACAGCAGTCTTTCCTTGCCTGGAGAGGAAGAACACCTCTGAGTTGAGTGTCTTGCAAGGTGGCGCTTGTCCTCCTTGGGGTCCTCTCCACTGACTGCCTTAACTGCTTTCAGGTTGATAATGTGTCCTGTCCCAATGTGCCATGCCAAAGAAAGTACAGCCTCTGCACTGGGAAGAAATCACTTACTGCACAAGTTACAGGAAGATTCTGATGGGAAAGAGAAAAGGGTGAAGGTATTAGATTGAACCTGATGCATGAGATACAAGGCTGAAGAGATGGGAGTTTATTGGCCTGGAAATGTATTCCCGTGACTCAAGGTTCCACATCCTGTCAGACACTTGGAACTTGTCCCAACACACAGCCTCAAGGTGCCCTGAAAGTGGGACACAGCAATGATGTAGAGATGCCAGAGCTGCCTCGAGTTGGTCAGGTGGCTCAGGGAGGTGGGAATAGTAGAATGAGGATTCTAGGGGATTCATTGCCTTACATGTTTCAAGGGATACTCCCTTCACCAGGACAATAAGAAATGTACAAACCAGTTTTTAGAAGGCTAGGGCAGTGTCCTTTATGGATCCAGGTTCACAGAGGAAAATGCTACCTCAGAATGGGGCTCCATAAGGTTGATGGCAACAAAAGGATTCTGCGAGTTCAGAGTCCAGGTAGCTGCACTTAAACAACAAAGGCCAGAGGGGCACAATTAGTGTAATAGGCAGTGAGACCAGAGCCGTAACCAGAGTGTCGTGTCCTAGGGCTCTGGGGCACTGGCTAGTAGACCACTGTGTTCTTGGGGATGAAAACAAGACATGACTTGAGAAATGGTTATTTAACATCATGACCAGAGAAAACTGAAAGCAAGTGAGTAGCAGGCAAGCACTGGCAAGGGCAAAGCATAATCCTTTTAGAGTTTCCAGACCTGAGCTAGAGGCAAGTGACAGAAAGGAGTGCCTGAACCCCTCAAAGAAAGATCCTGCAACCCCATCACAAATATATGAGAAATACAGTGAAATTCAAATTTAAAAATTGTTCAGAGTAAAAGACACATTGACATTAATCCCTCTCAAAATACTCTCCTCACTTTGAACACATTATCCCATTGTTCTTGCCACTTTCTGCAGCAGTTCTGGAAGTCCTCTGTCCTGAGTGTCCTTACAAGGAGTAAATGCTGCTGCTGAGTGGCATCTGATGGAAACATATGAACACATGGCAGTGTGTGCTCACCCCCCTTCTTCACTGGGTCTGGCACTATGTGACTTCTGGCCCCTTTCCAAAGTCAAAATGACCATGAAAGGTCAAGGGTTTTGAATAAATTCAGGACACAGAGGCAGCCACAATAGTGCAGCTACAAGGTGTGATTGGAGAAAAAAATGGTGACTGTTTAATTTCTTTGTAGTTTTTTACAGTAGAAGACAATGCCATTAACCTCCTTCAACATACTCACCCTCACTTCAGACACACTCATCCCATCCTTCTTGCTGCTTCTGAAGCAGTTCTGGCAGTCCTCTTTTCTATCATTAGTTGTTCGGTCATGGCTGCCTCAACGTCCTGAACGGATTCAAAACATTTCCCTTTCATGGTCATTCTGACTTTGAGGAAGAGCCAGAGCCAGATCCCGTGATGAGGTGGGAGAGGACACATTGTGATGTCTCCATGAGCCTGAATTTCTGTTGGACGGTGTTTGGTAGCTGTGTTCACAGAAGACATCCAGGAAGGGGACCTTCACAACCGCTTCAGAAAGCGGCAAGAGTAATGGAATAGGTGTGTTTGCAGTAAGGGGAGGATGTTGAGGGAATCAGCAGCAGTGTGTCTTTTACTGTAGTAATATTTTTAGTTTAAACATTCACCATATATTTCAGTCACACCTGGTAAGTACATTCACTCACTTTAGTCACGCAAGCTCGGAGCAATGACTGCAAGGCGGCCTGCCTGTACCCCCTGGCCTCCTAAGTCCCCACTTTGTTGCCAGGTGATGACACCTTTTGGGTCTCCTGTTATCAGTGTTGCTCTGATCCTACATCTAACAGCCCTAGGAAAGTCTGGGTAAATAGGTGTCTTGGCAGGGAGAGCCCAAGCACTAATATTTTGTTTTCCTAAAGAAATAGTGCACAAGTTTGGCCTCTTTTAATTTTGGAGGCAGCAGCTTCACATGGAGGGTGCTCCTCTAACCCATTCGTGGATGACTCAGAAGTCTGCCAGTTTCAAGTAATGCCCAGAACCAGAGACGTCTGCAGTGGGATTGGGAAGTGTAGCTCCCTTCCTCGTTGCTAAGACTATGACTCAGGTGAGCTGGGGGAGCGCATGGGAGAAGGCAGCTCAGAGCCCAGTGCTCTGAGTCAGAGAACTGCCCCGTGCTTCCTCAAACAGTTTCCAGTGTGTCCTGGGTCCTACTAGAGCCTGAGCACTGGCTGGGGGACATAGAGCCATTGCTATTGGAGATGGCCACTCTGAGCCGTAAACCGGGAAATTCTCTAAGCTATAAGAACATGTGCACCATGGCCATAGGGTGGAAATAATGCATGTCGGTCAGGTCTGAGCAAGTCCACAGGGTACAGGTCAGCTTCATGGACGGGGATCTGATTCATGTGCTGCCAACCTGTGCTATACCCACGCTTCTCCTCCATCCCACACCCACAGCCTCAAGAGATGTCCCCTGTGACCGAATGACAGAGGAGGGAAAAAACACAAGCATGTTTTTAAAGTGAAATGTGTTGGGAGCCACTGGAGTTGGTCGTTGGCCATGTGTGTGAGGGTGGGACAGATCCACAGTGCCTCAGGCAGTCAAGCTACCTCCGTATTGAGAAGAGTATCCGGCTTGGACAGTTACAGCCTTAGTCTTAGTCTCTGTCGCTAGGCAACATTATCTCTCATGGTACTACTTTGCAAGTGTATAAAATAAACGCCCCTACTGTTGGAGCCAGTCCTCTTGCTCACCAGGCAAGAGGTAACTCCACCTGACCCCCAGCTAT